AGCGGGCAAAGCACAAAGCACAAAGGGGCAAAGCACAAAGCACAAAGCGCGCGAGCGGGCGAGCGGGCCACGAGCGAGCGGGCCATGAGCGTGCTGAATGCGGCATCCCTCCCCCCCCCTGCGTCCTCCTCCCCCCTCCTCCCGCAGGCTCACTCCTTCGCGCGAGCGGGCCGCGAGCGGGCAAAGCACAAAAGGGGACCGAAGACGCCGCGGCGCCTCGGCCTCCCCGCGCCTGGCGCTTTGGGCGGCGCGCGCCCGCGCGAGCGGCACGCCCGCGCGGGGGCCGCACTTCCGCGCCCGCACGTCGGGCGCGCGCGCCCTCCCCCTCTCCGCTCCCCCCCCGCCCCTCTTCGCCTCCCCTCTCCGCCCCCCCTCTCCGCCTCCCTCCCCCCCCTGCCCCTCCCCCCTCTCCGCCTCCCCTCCCCCCCGCGGGCGCACGCGCCCGCGGGCGAGCCGCCCCTGCCGCGGCACTGACGCCCCTGGCGGCGCGGACCGCCAAGAGGGCTCCCCCGAGAGAGGGGGCCAGATCTCCCGCCAAGACGGCCCAGATCCTCGCCTGGACGGCCCAGAGCCCAGCCAGCAATGAGAAGAACTGGAACGGTCCAGGTCTGAACCACTCCTGCTTGAATTTCCAGGCGCTTGAAAAGCGCTCGGGCGGCACTCTTGGCGCTGAATACGTAAGCGTTTCGGGAGCGTTTCCTTGAAAGCGCTTCCTCGGCTTCGTGCAGGATTCCCGTTGGTTCCTCGAGGGCGTCCTGGGTGACTCTTTAGGAATCCTGAGGGTATCCCGAGGAATCCTCTGAAACTTCCCGGTGGGTTCCTGGAGGATTTCTGAGGGACCCCTGAAGATTCCTGACTAATTCCTGCAGGTGTCTGACAACTCCCTTGGATTAGCGCGGCTCCCTCGGGATTCCTGAACGACTCGTAGAAGGCATTCGTGGAGACTCTGGAAGGATGACACACAACTCCTGAAGGATTCCTCTGGGTCATTTGAAGGATTCTTGAAGGATCCCGAAAGAATCCCAGAGGATTCCTGGGAGGGGATTCTGGATTGGAGCTCCTCGCCGTGTTCTACGGGGTTTCTGAAAATTCTTTTGTGACTTTCTAGGCGATTCCTGGAGGATTCCTGAAACATTCCTGAAGATGTCTGAACGTGGTCTACTGAATTCCGGAGAGTTTTCTGTAGAGTCCTGACGACTCCAAAAAAATCCTGGAGGATTTGCCTGAAGGGTTCCCAAGGATTCCTGGAAGGTTCCTTCGGGATTCCTAAGGGGTTCGTGACGATTCCTCTAAAGTTTCCCGATGGATCCCTGACTGATTTTTGAAGTTCCCCGAGGAGTCCTGACAGATTCCTGAGGGTTCCTCATCATTCCTCCGGATTTCTGAAGATCCCCGAAGGATTTCTGAGGGATTTCTCAGGACTCGCATCAGGATTCCAGAGGGATTCGATCATAATCCCTGAAGGTTTCTTCGTAATCCTTGAACGCTCCCTTAAAAACTGCGAGGATTCCTGAAGGTGTTATACGCTGGGCATACGTCTCGCATGCGTTTCTGAGACGGTCCTGAGACGTTTCTGAGACGTCCACATTCGTATACGTTTGACAAAAGTGCCGTATAATTAATTGTCGCATTCTTTCGTATACACTGCCGTCTTGGAGCGCCTTGAGCCTATTCAAGGCCCTCCTGGAGCAATTACAACTCGCAAAAAATAGCAAAGCGGGACAATCTAGATCCCAACTGTGCGCTATAAAAACCGAGTGAGTTCCCTCAAAAGAATCCGTTCGGCTCCCATTGACCGTGCTCTGCATACCTTTGCGTGGCGGGTGGGATCTGGACCGTTCCTGTTTTCTCACCCGTCGGGATCTGGACCGTCCTGATTTCTTCCAGGACGGCATCCCCGGGAGACCCGACCCCTTCCCCAGGACCCGTTCCTCATCCTGGGTCGTTTTCTGACGGTCCCGCGGCCTGGCGAAGGCCCCCGGAGGCCGAGAATGGCGAAAACCTGGCCGTCCTGATTTTTTTTTTTATCCGCGCGACCACGTCGGGGAGAGCATGCTACGCATGGAATGAATTGAGTAGAAGATGAGGTGTTGGATCCGTGAGTGGATCAGCCTAGACAGTATGATGGTCAGAGGCTTTGATGCCTCCATTAATTGTGGGTCGGCTATGATGCCAGCCAATGCCCACCCCGTCCCGTCTCCAGGGACTTCGCATCCCCCTTTGATGGCAGGATGGGGAGACGGTCCGCCACCCCCGGCACTGCACGTACTGTGCCGGGACCGCCCCGTTGGGGCCTGGACCGTCCAGTGGGGATGCCGACCCCGCCGCGGGCTCCCCCCCTCCCGCGCGGCGGCGCGGGGCGCGGGGCCGGCGCTCCCGCGAGGCGCGCCAGCCGGCCGAGCGACGCGGTGGCCTCGACGCGGGGCAGGCCGGCGCTCTTCCCTGCGGCGCGCGGGGCGGGGCGGGGCGGCCCGGCGGCGCGCAGAGCCCGGCACAGCATCGCGCCGCGGAGCCCGGCAGAGACCTCGGAGGCTGCTCTCGCCAGCTTCCGGCCTCGGGGGGGCCCCCCGCCGGGCCCTCGGGCCGTCAAGGCACGACTCGGGCCGAAAAAGACCGGTCCCGGCGGAAGGGCCGGGACTTACAGGGACGCCATCCTTAGGGGGCCACATGCGAATCCTACCCCTGCCCCCCACGATGTCTGAAGGCGAGGGTGGGGTTCACTTCGATCGGCAGGTTCCGAACGAAGTGAACCCCACCCTCCCCCCTCAGAAATCGTGGGGGGCAGGGGTAGGGTTCGCATGCGGCCCCCTTAGTCCTGAAAAAAATCCGGACGTCGCATGTCTGGGGGGGGGAGAGGGCTGCTCCTTAGAAGGCGCTGGCCCGTGCATCTATAGACGGGACCCGCGCCCGTGAGAAGCTGCCTCCTTCCAAGAAGCCTTCCCCTTCCCCCACGCGCGCAGGAGGAGGGGTGCCTTGGCGGCGCGCATGAGGAGGGTGATGATGATGTTGATGTTGTTGTTGGTGTTGGTGGTGTTGTTGACGATGACGATGACGATGACGATGACGATGACGATGACGATGATGATGATGATGATGATGATGATGATGATGATAATGATGATGATGATGATATGATGATGATGATGATGATGATGATGATGATGATGATGATGATGGATGATGATGATAATTGATGATGATGATGATGATGATGATGATGATGATGATGATGATGATGAGGAGAGGAGGAGGAGGAGGAGGAGGAGGAGGAGGAGGAGGAGGAGGAGGAGGAGGAGGAGGAGGAAGCGCGCGGGCGGAGCGGGGTGACTTGGCGGCGCACAGAGGGGGTAGAGGGAAGACTTCTTGTAGAAGGAGGCCGCTCCTCAGCAGGCGCTGGCCCTCTACACGTCTACAGTCGAGGCCCGCGCCCGTAAGAAGCAGCCTCCTTCCCCCACCCCCCCCTCGGCGCGTGGCCGCGGGCGCAGGCTGCCTTCTCAACAAACGCTGCCAGGTCGAGGCGCGCAGTTCTCTGGCGTCCTCGCTGGTCCTCGGCAGCCTCCCCGCCTCGCGAGGCCCTCCAGCAGCGGCCGGCCCGCCAGAAGCGCCCCGGGGGTGCCTGCATCGCCCCGACCGGCCGACGGAGACCCGCCTCGTGGCCCGCCGGCCAGATTTTTCCGGACCCGAGGGGGGAGAAACGTCGAGCTGGAGTCGGCTCTGGAGGCCCGAAATGGGCACGGAAAGAGGGGTACCATGCCGAACAACCGCTGCTGTCCAAAATTCGACAGCGGCCGCTGTTGGGCAGGCGGCTGTCCGTCTTCAGAGAACAGCGCCCGCGGCGGCGCGGACCGCGAGTCCTGCTCAAAATGAACAGAACTGCTGTTGGGCATTGCACCTATTCTTTCCGTACCCCTGTCTGATCGTCCCAATCGTGGCGGCGCGCACAGTGGGGTGAAGGGAGGGGGGAAGGGCTTCTTAGAAGGAGGCTGCTTCTTGGAAGGAACCGGCCTTACATCTATAGAGAAGGCCCGCGCCTTCGAAGAAGCAGGGGTGCTCCTTAGATCCCTTCCCCCCTCCCCTTGCACCCCTCTGCGCGTGGCCAACATCGGTTTTGAAGAGCTGATTCTTGAATTGGTCGAGAACCGCTGGAGGAGGAGGAGGAGGAGGAGGAGGAGGAGGAGGAAAAGGAGGAAGAGGAGGAGGAGGAGGAGGGGTCGAGGATGGGGGAGGAGGAGGGAGGAGGGGGGAGGAGGAGGTCGAGAGGAGGAGGGAGGAGGAGGTAGGAGGAGGAGGGGGAGGAGGGGGGGTGCTTCTCAGGAGGGGGGAGGGGAAGGCGTCCTCAGAGGCCCTCCCCCCTCCCCCCCCCGCCCCCCCCCCCGCTGCGCAGCCCGCGTGGCCCTCTTCTTGTTGCCCCAGCCTCTCGGGGCCAGGGTGGGCGGTGCCCCGTGGCGCCGAGGCGGCGGCGGGCCGCCGACAGCTCGACGGCCGGGCTCCCCCACAGCGATGCTTCGCGCTCCCCGGGCGAGGCCGGCCCGGGCCACCTGGCCCGCGCGCCTTCCCGGGAGAGCGCGGGGGGGCGGGGGGGGGCGGGCGTTGTGTGGGGGTGCAGGGGCAGAGGGGGGGGGGGGGGGAGGGGCCCAGAGATCCGACGCTCCGAAAGACCTTCCAGAGGTCCTCCTCCTCTCTCCCCTCCCTTCCTCCTTCCTCCTCCTCCTCCGCATCCGCCTCCTCCCTCCTCCTCCTCCTCCCCTCCTCTCCTCCGCCCTCCGCCTCCTCCCCTCCTCCTCCTCCTCCTCCTCCTCTCTCCTCCTATCCTCCTCCTCCTCCTCCTCCTCCTCCTCCTCCTCCTCCTCCTCCTCCGCCTCCGCCTCCTCAGGTCTTCCTCTTCCTCCGCCTCCTCCTCCTCCTCCTCCCCCTTCTCCCCCCTCCCCCTCCTCATCCCAGAGATCCGATGCTCCAGAAGAAAAATTGGAGCGGCGGGATGTTGGCAGCCTTCGGCCTCCGGGGGGGGCCCTCGCCAGGCATGTGGAGCGTCATCCAAAAAAACGACTCGGGACGAACAGCCAGCCCCGGGGAAATGGTCTGGACCTCTGGGGCCCACGCATCGAAACAATTGGAGCGGCCGGACGTCTGGGAAGCAGGAGGGGCTTCGGTCGAGCTTTAAGGATCGAGGACTCTTGGGATCGCTCTGGGCCTCCCGGGGACTCCCCGTCGCCCCGACCAAATCCAGAACCCCCCCCCCAAGAGGTCTGCACAGTTGGTCTCTGAGTGGAGGAGGAGGAAGACGAGGAGGAGCAGGGGAGGAGGAGGAGGAGGAGGAGGATGCCTCCCGCCGCCGCTGCCGAGGCCAGAGGACGCCTTTTATCGGGGCGCCGCGCGCCCGAGCAAGCTTCAAGGAAGGTGCACCGGCAAAGATGATTGGACAGCGGGCGGAGGCGTGGCCGACGACCAGCTGCACAAACACTGAGTCGAGGGTACAAACATACGCGCGAGGGAGGGAGGGCTGGGAGCGCAACAAAGAGACTTAAATGGCAATGGAATGGCAAAGAATGACGCCACAAGAATCCATGGCCTGACAGTGCGGGCCTCTCCTGCTGTGACTTCTGGCATTCTACAACGAAGTAGTGGGCATTGCCTCCCGCCGCCGCTGCCGAGGCCAGAGGACGCCTTTTATCGGGGCGCCGCGCGCCCGAGCAAGCTTCAAGGAAGGTGCACCGGCAAAGATGATTGGACAGCGGGCGGAGGCGTGGCCGACGACCAGCTGCACAAACACTGAGTCGAGGGCACAAACATACGCGCGAGGGAGGGAGGGCTGGGAGCGCAACAAAGAGACCTCAAATGGCCATGGAATGGCAAAGGAATGCCGCACAGATCCATGGCCCTGACATGCGGCCTCTCCTGCTGTGACGTCTGGCAATCTACAACGAAGTAGTGGGCATGCCTCCCGCCGCCGCTGCCGAGGCCAGAGGACGCCTTTTATCGGGGCGCCGCGCGCCCGAGCAAGCTTCAAGGAAGGTGCGCCGGCAAAGATGACTGGACAGCGGGCGGAGGCGTGGCCGACGACCAGCTGCACAAACACTGAGTCGAGGGTACAAACATACGCAAAACTGCCAAACATTCCTTGGTCATCTCTATACAAAGCTGAATTATTCACCGTCAAACGAAAAGACTGGTCAATGCAATTGTCTTAGAACTGCCATGAGCGTGATCGAGGCAACGAGCAAGGGCCTTGCACAAAGCTGGAGGGTACTGCTGAGCGGCTTTTGTCTTAAAGCCGCCTCCTTGTGCGAGGCCATGGATTGATGTGTGCTTCTTCGCTGTGCGAGAGCACAGCTTGCCATGACATTCACGGGCAACAGAATGCAGAGACACGCGGTCCCCTAAAATTCTGGTGGGCTTCTTCCAGGGTGTCCCCCATTGGCGCATGCCAGTATACACGAAGTGGCTCGTACTCCATGCGGCGGCTTTTTTGAGACGAGGCAGCAGCCAGAGACGCGAACGTGCCGGGTTCTCCAGCGCCACCGGGCGCTGGAGCAGGTGCATCAGCTCAAAAATACTGCAACAGAAACCGGCAAGAACATTACCAATTCGAATGGCCTGCACATCGGCAGGATGAGTGACCTCAGGGAGCCCCATCAGATGCTGGTCAGATCGGAGCCGCGACGGGAGCTGTGGTCCAGCTTGACCTAGCTCTCGCAGCGGCCCCGTGCCCCTGGCCCTCGTCCACGTCTGGCACGGCGTCCCCGTGAACACTCCCCAGACCTGTCCGGCCAAGAGCCAGCCTCTCACGAGCTTCTGGGCCCTCCTTGCCGAAAGGCCCCAGGCTGGCCCACGGCAGATATCCCACTCGAGCACGGCGAAGCCCCTCTCACGCAGCGCCCGCGAGAGCCCGCCATGCCCGCTGAACAGCTCTAGAAAGACCTGCGGCTGGACCAGGCGGGCACCCCGGCTGGCCAAGGCGCGAGCGAAGGCCTCGCGAGGCAAGTCGGCAGCTGTGTCGCCGCCTCGACCGCCCTCGCGCGGACGCCTGGGGACAGCCGCTGCAGCTGCTCGCCCACGCGCCCCTCCTTCTGGTAACGCCTCACGCTGGAGTCGCAATGCCAACGACCTCTCAGCTTGATCTCCTGCAGCGTCCGCAGCTGGGACGCTCGGTCGTGGCTGGGCCCGCTGGGCCTCAGCATGCACAGCTCCGGGCCCAGAGCCTGGACCCCTGCGCGTCCTGCCGCTTCCCGAAACTGGACCACCAGGTCGGCGTGCCGGAAGGCGAACAGCGGCTCCCCGGCCGGCGTCTCCCTCTTGAGGTAGGCGAGCACGGGCACGAGGAAACGGAACAGCGGCTGATCGAACACCACGGTCTCGTCGAACTCTCTTGTCTTGCTGCTGATCTCCTCCTCGCTTGGGCGCAGCACGATCGCCCAATTTGCCGCGCGGGTCCCTGGCACAGGCGGCACGAGCATCTCGGCGGTGACCCGCTGCAGCTCGCTGGGGCGCAGGTAGCAGTGG